GGGAAGCTGGGCTGGGGCTTCTGGAACGACCACCCCAGCCAGAGGCCCACAGTGCCCCTCGCACACGTGGTCTAGGTCTGCACGGCTAGGCGCACCGGGGTCAGTGGGAGAGGCAGCCCCGGGTTGGGCCACACTCAGCAACGCTCGTCGCCTGTGCCCCTCCACACCCTGGGTTCCGTCCCCTGCATTCTTTCATACCCTGATGAAAGGATTTCACCTTGTACTTGTAAGGTACTTGTACCTTAAAACACAACACAGAACCCGGCCCGAGTCTGGACTGTGAGTTTTTAGCTGTGGGACTGCAGATAATGTCGCTTCCTGTCCTAAAGGCTCAAGGGGTTGGGGGACAGGCAAACCTGCCGCGGACGCACCCTTGCCACGAAAACACCACTGGGGCCTCAATGAGACACTCACATTTCGCAGGCGAGTTCCAGGCCAAGTGCCCATAACGCGTGGGCCCCGTGCAGAGGGAGGGTGTGTGAATGGCTAACGGACACTAGACGTGTCTGACAGCGGTAGACGCGCGAGCGTGTGGCCCACGCAGGAGGGGAGGGCAGTCAGGCCTCGGTCGCCAGCCGCCGGGGCATGAACCGTCCACTGTACCACACACTTCACACCATCTGCTCGGTTCTGAGCCACAGGACAGGACAACCACGGGTATGACGTGTCTTCGCAGACAAGCGGGTCAACACTGCCAGGAGTCAGCGGCACGGGCAGGGCTCCAAGCCGTAGGGTGAGGGGGGGATGGGGATGGCCCCCGAGAGTGGAAGCCGGATAGCCGCTGATGCAGCTGCCCAGGGTGAGAAGAATCCAATGAGATGCTCGTTCCAGGAATGTTCTCTGAATGTAGACGCCACGGCGGCCGGGGGCGGCTCCATCAAACACGGACGCACCACGCTCCTGCCTCACCTGCCAACTGCACACCTGAATCTGCTTCTCAAAAGTGCTTCTTACTGGCTGTAGGCCCCACGGGGGAACTCTAAACATTAAAATAAGTGGGTTAACATTTTCCTGTAAACGGAGGGACCTCGGGCGCTGGCAGGCTCCGTCGGTGAAGCGTCTGCCTTGGGCTCAGGCCGTGATCCCAGGGTCCTGGGGTCGAGCCCCACGTTGGATTCTCTGCTCACCGAGGAGTCTGTTTCTCCCTCTGCCCCGGTCCCTGCCCATGCTCTCTCTCAAACACATACATACATACATACATACATACATACATAAATAAATAAAATCTTTCAGAAAACAGACTTGCATTTCCTCAGAAACAGATCTGACGGTTCACATGGCTGGGTCTCCCGGAGCACCGACTTTGTCCTGGTGCTCTGTAACTCTAGAGTTTGGAATCTGTCCTGGCACAACCCCAGGAACTCAACCCTCACAGTCAACGTCACCCCGTCCTTGTCGAGCGACAAGGGAGAGTGGCCAGGTGCCGTCTGGGACCCGGCGGGCTGGTGGGCGCTGTCTCTGCTCGACTCCGCGACTTGCATCCAGAGACCGACTCAGACCCGAGTAAACGCATCACAGACAGTTCCTGCAGGAGAGACCTGAGGTTTCTACACAACCGGCTCGCACCCTCTTCCGTCCCTGCCACAGCCCCCAAAGGAAGCTCCGTCCCCAAAGTCCTGAGGGAGAAGTGGGGTTCATTCGGGCACGCTGTAGCCCATCCCAATTAATCCGGACACTGAGCGCCTAAAATGCAGACACCCCCCACAAATCAGGATCACCTCTTCTCTGCTGCAGAGGTGGACCGTGGACACCATCTCCCAGAGTCGCATGGCAGCATCCGGCATCCGTGAACGGGATCAGTGTGTGAGGCCATTTTCCCTCCCCAGTCTTCCTCCAAAATCCGGACGAGCTTTATCCTTCTAAGCCCCGTGCTGCCGCCCTGCGCAGGCGGGAAGGGGACAGGTGTTGGGGGGTGCTGGCCGCCGAGAGTGGGGACGTAGACGAGAGTTAGGAAAATCATGCTTGACAAAGAATACTGACGTCCTCACATACGAGGGCGCTTCCTTCTGTTTTGCAATCCTCCTCAACCACTGCTCGTGAGGACGGTGAAGCCACTTCCCACGGAACAAGAGGCGCCTCGCACAGACCAGCCGTGTCCTCTCTGGGTCCTGGCTTCCGCGTCCTTCCGCCCCAGCTTCTCCGGCCGGGCCGCTCCTGCAGCGCCTTCCCGGAGCCATTCTGCCCCGGACCCCCTTACACATGCCCCACATCACGTGCTAACTTCGCTTTCTGCATTGTCATACAGTAAACTGGCCTTTCTGGGTGGCGGTGCCCGACTGTAGCACATGTGGCTCCGCGCGGCCACGCCCACAACCAGGAGAGTGAACCCCTTCCCCGCGCCATCCCTGCCACTGCTGGCTCTGACCCGGGAGCGCTGTCCTCTCCAGAAGGTCACATGAATGCGATCAGACCGGGTGTGGCCCTGGCGCTGCCGGCCGTCACTCCACACGGTGCTTCTGGGCCCCCCGTGTGCTCGCGCATCAAAGGTCCCCCGTTTCCCGCTGTGTCCCGTTGGACGAGGCACATTCTGCTCATCCAGCCACCCTGGGTTCTCCCGCTTCAGGTGACGATGAACGAAGCCACACAAACGGTCTCGCACGGGTTCTCAGGTGCCTGGTGTCCTTCCTGGGGGACGAATGCGCGGGAGTGGGACGGCGGCCCCCTGGTGCTGGCCTCCTGCCACGCGGCCGTCCCGCTCGCCTCGACAGCAGGGCCATGGGAGCGCCGGTCGCCCCGCACCCTCGCCACCTGTTTAGCCGACCCGCCTCACGGGTGCTGTGGTTTCTTGCTGGGGTTTACTCGGCGTTTCCCTCATGGCTCGTGGTCTGGAGCATCTTTCCCGGGCCGACCGGCCGTTCCTAGATTCTCTTCGGGAAAGTATCTCCTCGGGTCTTTTTCCAATTTTGAATTTTTCTTCTTATTTCTGCCCTGCAGTATCTTTATATACCCTGGGCACAGGTCCTCCGTCGGCCGTGCGGTCTGCAAATACCCTCCCCAAGCGTGCGGCTTGTCTCCTCGCTGTCTGAGCTGCGTCTTTCGGAGAGTAAACATTTTAAATTTTGATGAAGTCCGATTGCACAATTTGTTCTGTTGTGGGTCGCGCGCTAGGTGTCAAGCCACGGTGCACATTTTACATCTGAGAGGGTGCCGGGAGGGGGCCAGCTGTCCTGCCGCGGTCCCCGGAGGCCGGTCGTCCACGGACCCTGCCACGGGTGCGGAGACCCGCTGGGAAGCGCCACCCAACTGAGCGCCAGGCTCGTCCCCAGCATGATCTGGAGGCTTAACTACGACTGAGAAGGGGCGCCTGGGTGGCTCAGTGGGTTGAGGCCTCTGCCTTCGGCTCAGGTCATGATCCCAGGGTCCTGGGATCGAGCCCCGTATTGGGCTCTCTGCTCAGTGGGGAGCCTGCTTCCTCCTCTCTCTCTCTCTCTCTGCCTGCCTCTCCGCCTACTTGTGATCTCTCTCTCTCTGTCAAATAAATAAAATCTTAAAAAAAAAAAAAAACTACGACTGAGAAAACACGTCCTTCTCATTTGTGGATCTTTAATTGCTCCTTTTACTCTGGAGAACTTGGAGCACGCGGTGCTGCTGCTTGCATGTGGCTGAGTGGGCATGAGCAGTTGGGGTGGGAGCGTCCGCACCGCATGGGGGCACCGGGATGCGACAGGGCAGCACGCAGATCCAGGGGCGGCGGCTGGGTTCACACCCTGCCTGGTGGGGGAAGCACCGATGTCCAGCCACCATGACCAGCCCCGCTGGTGAACGGAAGCTCCCTGAAGTCAAGCAGACCAGTCCCACAATCTCCTCGGACACCGACTCACAACTCGCACCGAGGACGGACACTCGGTGAAGTGTCTGCAGGCGCCCTGGTTACAGTCTCTGGATTCTTTATTTTACAGGCATCCCATGTGTGTATGTTCGCGTAGAAAGATTTAAAAGACGGAAACAAAGCCAAGTCAGTTAACACAGCTCCTCCCCTGCGCTCTCCCCCTCAGAGTGACGGACGCATCGTTTCATGCCTGTTCTACCCGTACTCCTGCACAGAGCCACGTACGGTGTAAAAATCCTGTGTGTACTGGTCTCGTCTGCTCTTCCCACTAACGGCCCGCCGGGCAGCTGTTCTGTGCCAGCCCAGCGGAGCCGCTACAGAGTGCGCGGTCCCCGGAAGGACCCGTCCCCTTGTGCCTGTGGACGCTTAGATGTAACCTTCTCTAGCTCTCTGACACACAGGCAGGTTGTTTTCCAGGAGGAAACCCGGAAGCCTGTTTGCTTTCCCTACCTGATTTAATTAAACGCAGGCCTTAGCTATTCTTACCCACGATCTTGTGTATCAAGACTTGGAGAACTACCATCCTGTATGTTGACCGCAGCGGAAGCGGTGTCCGGGGCGGGGGAATTAGGAACCACCCAGACGAACCAGGATGAGTCCAGGTGAGTCTCACACACACGCACACCCGCGACGCAGGTCAAGTCTGGAGCCACAGAGTAGCTCGGACCCAGGGAGGTCCACAACAGGAGGCAGCCGGGCCTCCTGTCCACCTGGAAGCACGCAGAGAGGCCTCATGGCCACAGTCCACGAAGGGCACTGCCGGACGGGACCGCGGCGTGCGCCCTGAGGCGGAACACGGACCGGGGTCGGGGGGCTTGTAGAATATTAAGCGGGGGGCTGGGAGAAAGGAGCCCGCTCCAGCAGTCAGGAAGCAAAGGTGACCTCTGTGTGCAGCCGTAGGTTTCTGCTTTGATGGAGTGTGAGGAGTGTTTGTCAACGTTAAAACGTACTCAGCTTTTATTCTGTTCCTTTCATATGGCCGCACACAGAGCCGTGTCCCACGCTGGTCACCAGCACGGCAGTCACAGCACGGCCGTCACCAGAGAGCAGGAGTACACACCCACACGCTGGGAGACACCCCCACGCTGACCACAAGGGCCCCTGGAACCAACAGCGCTCAAAGAACCCCCCTCAGACCCCAAAAGCCACACGGCTTGAAAATCTGACTTACTTTTCTATTAAATCCAGTGTGACCCCAGGCACCAGGCTCACGCATTTCTGCATGCAAAACCTGCAGAGAAAGGAGAGAGCGTGAGTCACGCTGAGGGGGCATTTAGCAGGAAATCAACAGTGCCCGGGACGCGAGGGCCTACGGGTGGGGGGGCAGCTTCTCACTCCCAGCAGCTTTCGGATTCATGAAGCAAACCCGACTGTCAGCTGGTCAGTGGAGGGAGAAAAACCTGGACACAGGGTCCCCGGGGAGGGGCCCAGGTGAGACAGGAAAGGAAGCGTCTGCCCAAATAATGGACACAGTGGCTTCTCTCCCCTTTTCTCTTTCTTGAGAAAGCCGGCCAGGGAGTGCCAGCAAGATGAGTGAGCGCGAATGACTTCCGGGCTCACAAAGGGACACGTGGGAGGAACCAGACACCAGCGAATTCCATCATGTCACTTGCTTATCCAACCCGACTGTGTCACACAGGGACCGGACTCCGCAGGCCACCGGGCCAGACCGTGAGCGCACTACCGGAGGCCGGGAGCCACCCCTGCCTCCTGCCTGGGCTGTGGGCACACAGCAGGGGAAGCAGCAGCCGCAACACTGAAGAAAAAGGCAACTTTGAGCTTGTCGTGGGAGAAACGTGAAACATTTAATTCACCTGCTTCAGATTACATTCCAACAACCCCGCCGACCGCCAGGAGGCAAGCGGCAGGTACACACCTGCAGGAAGCACTTCTGTGCCTCCCTGGCGGGACACGAGAAGAGGAGGAAAGTCGGAGAAGGCCAGTGGGCCCATATGGGAGGGACAGGTACAAGCACCAGGCCATGATCAGGGAGACAAGCTGTGACACGTATGAGGTTGCCGGGTAGGAAGGGTGACAGAGAGACCAGGAGGATGGTGGCTATGAGGACAAGTGAGTCCCGAGGGTAGCCTCCAGGTTGGGGGGAGGTGGGGCTCCACCGCTGCCCCCCATGCACCACTCCCCCACCACTGCTGTCCCCCCCGCACCACTGTCCCCCTCTGCAACGCCGGCCCCCTCCACACCACTGCCCCCACCGCTGTCCCCCCGCCCCACTTCCCCCCCACGCACTGCTGCCCCGCACCATTGTCCCACCCATAGCTGTCCCCCTGACCGCTGTCTCCCATGTCCCGCTGCCCCCTGACACCACTGTCCTCCGTGCCCTGCTGCCCCCCCACCGCTGTCCCCCCACACCGTCCCCCCCACACCACTCCCCCACCCCACTGTCCTCCATGCACCGCTGCCCCCCCCCACTGCTGTCCTTGTGGCACCAGGCCACGTGCAGCTCCCGTGGCAGGTTCAGGTAAGTCAGGACCTCTCGGTGGATAAAGATGATCTTCAGGAAAGGCATTTTCCAGTCTAACCCTGGGTTCTACACAAACTGTGCCACTTTGTCATTTGTCTTTTTATCTAGAACGTTCTTATCCACTTCTGGATTCTAGTGATGACAGAATAATTTGCATCAGGCTAGTCCTCTTATCAGTAATAATTAGCTCCGGACAAAACACACAAAACCACCACGTAAAAGCACCAAGAAGAAAACGGACGCAGGTAGAAACAGAAGAGCCGCAGGCAAGTGCACCATCACCCAGTGCGTCCCGCAGGCACGCCCAGTCCACGCAGCACACGGGGCGATGCTCCCCGGAAAGCGGCCCCTCACTGGCTCAGCGTCTCCCAAGTCCTGGTGGGCTCCCGCCCGACACACCCGTGGGGCGAGACTCCCGGGGGCCACATGGAGACAGTAACTGGAAGGCTGCACTGAGATAGTCCACACCCGCCCCCAGGGTGTGCACCGGCAGGGAGAGCCAGCCCGCTGCTTTAAGGGGGCTTGATCCACACCTGGCCCTCCACTGACCTCCTGGGTGGGATGGGGAATCATGCCTTAGTTACCACCATGCTCCAGGACTCAGAGCCACACCCCTACACTAACAGCAAAGCCAAAGGTCACCAGTCCTACCACCAAATTGCCTGTACACCCTGACAGAGACTGCCTCAGGGCCTTTGCACTTGCTGTTCCCATGGCCTGCAGTATCTTTGCCCCAGAAAACTAAGATTTACTCCTTTATTTTATCTAGATTTCGACCTCCCCTGGCCAGCCAAGGGAAAACATCTCCTTTCTCCATCCCCTCACTCTGCATTTCTCGCTCCCCAGTGCTTTGTTACACAGCTGTCTGCATCTGTCTTTACCACAGAAGGTATGTTCAGGGCGTAAACGGACCTCTCTCTTCTTGTTAATCACTACAGCTCTGGTGCCAGGGACGGTGACCGGCACACAGTTCTGCTGCTTACCAAATACACGTGAGCGACTGAATACGGTAGGAGATCAACGTGATAGTTTTTATGGGTTTCTAATAGTTCACCCACGTTCTTGTTTTCTTGTCACTCTTGAAAGCAAGTAGCTTCAAGATTTTATGAAAAACAAATCATAATCATTTAATATTTAAAAAATAAAACCAAACCCAGCTCTGGAACCTCATGAAGTATCATGTAACTGCTGGGTGTTGAGTCTGAGAACAGAAAGACATGAACTATTTTCCTAACTAAAGACAACAAAAAAGGGGCGCCTGGGTGGCTCAGTGGGTTAAGCCTCTGTCTTCGGTTCAGGTCATGATCCCAGGGTCCTGGGATCGAGCCCCGCATCAGGCTCTCTGCTCAGCAGGGAGCCTGCTTCCCTTCCTCTCTCTGCCTGCCTCTCTGCCTACTTGTGATCTCTGTCAAATAAATAAATAAATAAAATCTTTAAAAAAAAACACACAACAAAAAAAGATGTATTTGCCATAAAAAATTAAGAGGTATAGAACATTACAAGTGAAAATTACCCCAAATCTGATTCAGCTGTTACAAAACACTGAATCATTCCAACTGATTTTGTTTGAATATAAAAGGGAACCACTGTCCCCGTACATCCCAACCTGGGTCTTGCTGGGGGAGCCAAAGTCTGTCCCCACTGCCCTCAACACTGCCACCCGCTGCACACGGTGTGGGGGCCCTGCTTCCACACGTGCCCCGCTCCTGGAGACAACCAGCATCGACACGTGGGTATTTGTTTCTTTCCACAAGAGAAGCCTTGTGACAGCTGTTTTTCTAAACACCCCCCCCCCCCAGTTCTTTCCAACATTCAACAAAGTTGGAAGAATTTTACAGGAAAGGCCTGCGTCCCTCCACCTGGTTCCACCACCGGCTTCTGACTATGTTGGCTTTATCACGTCTGTCTCTCCTTCCACGAGTCCACTCTCCTTTTGGCGCAGCTGGACATACCACACATTGCCCTCCAGATTGCACGTGTGTCCTTCATTTAAACCACACACAATCAAGTGCACATATCTTCGCTACACATTCATTGACTTGTGACCAATGCACACAGCCACGTAACCTGGACTCCGACAGAGAGCACTGCTGACATCCCAGAACAGTCCTCCCACTGCCCCTGGGGGCAGAATCGGTTCCGACGCCTCCCCCGACTTACTCCTCTGCTCTAGAACCTCACAGAAGCAGAGCCGTCCAGTGTGGACGTCCTACAAGGCGGCCCCCGGGGCAGCACTACGTTCTCCTGGTTCATCCGTGGCCGCGTGTGTATCGTGCACGGCTTCTGTTTCACCGCGAACCAGTGCTCTGTCATGTGAATATACTGCCCTGTACAACGCTGTTTTGTAACTTGTCCTCGCATGTCCTGGGCGGTATGAACACTGGTATGCAGAAGGTCCCCTCTGTCAATGTTTGAATGAGCTCTGTTCGTGTGGACACCAAGTTTGTCGTCCTCAGGACGCATTCTTAGAAGCGGACCTGCCCGATGGACGGGTACACTGGACCTGAGTTACTCCTCATTGTCTGACGGCTTTCCAGAAAAGAAGGCCAAAATGCCCATTTTTTCACTTCTTGCCAACACTGGGTTCATCGTCATAAAAAAGGAAACCGCTGCCTGCCTGACAGGTGGGAAATGACACGTCGTTTGAATTTCTTTGATTAGTCTGGAGGTTAAACGCCAGTTAATAATTTCTGGGTTGTCGCCTATTCATGCCCTTTGCATTTTTATGCTCATTTTTATACTCATTTTGTACTCATCATCTTACCAATTTTTAAGAGTGTTTTATACATTAACAGAACCAAGAACCAACCTTTTGTTACATGTCACAAAATTTTTCTCAACTTACAATTTTACAGTTGACCTCAAACCAACACAGGGGTGAGGGGCACTGACCTCCCACGCAGACAAAATCTGCACGTAACTTCTGACTCCCCCCAAACTTAACAACTAGTAACCTATGGAAGCCTCACCAATAACAATTAAAACATATTTTGTCCAAGTATCATATCCTACATTCTTAAAATAAACTAGAGAAAAGACCACGTTAGTAAGAAAATCATCAGAGGGGCGCCTGGGTGGCTCAGTGGGTTAAAGCCTCTGCCTTCGGCTCAGGTCGTGATCCCGGGGTCCTGGGATCGAGCCCCGCATCGGGCTCTCTGCTCGGGAACCTGCTTCCTCCTCTCTCTCTGCCTGCCTCTGCCTACTTGTGATCTCTGTCTGTCAAATAAATAAATAAAATCTTTAAAAGAGAATCATCAGAGAAAGCACATTTACAGAACTTACTGTCCTGTGTTTACTGAAAAAAGCCGGCCTCTACGTGGACCTGCGCAGTTCAACCCCATGTCACCCACAGATCAGCTGCGTTTTAGATTTTGTCTACTGTTTTCCTTGCCGCACGACACTTAAAGTCTGTGTTTTATAAAATCTATCCCTGCCTTTATGGCTTTTTAATTGTCCCCCCGCCCCGATCATTTTCCCAGTACTTTTGTGCGTTCTCCTTTTCATATCTGAGGCTTTGTTACATTCGGAATTTATTACATTAAGAGGAAGGGATTTAAAAACTTCAAATGGTGAGCCAAGTGCCCCAAATAGTAGATACCAAGCAACTCATTCTTTTTCTGAATCACACGTTCTTCTGACACACACAGACTCTGCTTTTGGAACGAGATCTCTGTTCTGCTCCACGGATCTCATTTCAACTGCATCTTCGGAACGCGCTGGGAACGGCGGACGAGCTTTCTTTCGCAAAC